CTCACGGCGCTTCGCGCTTGGTGATGTGAGAGCCTGGTCCGGTGAGAACCCGGCGTGCTCCGTCCCGGCTTTGTAGGGATGCGAGGTCAATGGTCTCACGACTACGGCATGCACGACTATGAGTACACCCCCCACCACCTCTACTCACCCCCTTGAAGTACGCGTCGGTAACGGTCTTGAAGGTGGTGCTATACAGCGGCTCTAGCTCGTCGACGCGCTTGGCCCTCCGCATCGCATCGTGGAGATCGAACACGAAGTCCTTCACGCTCTCCGGCAGGAGGTAGTCGAGCGACTGCGTCTCCTCCTTGTTTTGCGGGGTGGACGCCCTGTTGCGGTGCGCAACGCACGTCGATATTCGCAAAAGGGTTTTCCATGAGGTTCCTTTGTTGCTGTGTGCGCTACGTAGGCTCGTGTGTTCTCGTTGGCTCTGGGTGCTTCGCAAGGATAAACATGCGTCTGTTGATGTTGGTTTTTCGGTATGTGACGTTGTTTGTTGACGTCATCGTCATCAGCGTGTAGCCTCCGCGAAAACAACGCTCCAGCCGTGGTCCACAGCTCTATGGTTCCCTACCACATAGTTCACCACTTAATCACACACTCAACCCGGTAACAAACGGAGTTTCCGTGAGAAGACACATGGCTTGCTTCGCTGCTCGTAGCATGTCAGAGAAGAGGACAACGAGCGATGACAAACGCCGCCACGTGTAGAAACAAGCGCTTGCATTTGTAGCGTGTGCCATTTGGTAACTACAGCGTCATTTCGAGAGTTTCATGTGCGTGTGTGAGACAGAGTAAGAGAGAGTGAGCGGATGCTTCTGTTTCGCTGGCTTCATGGATAAGGGGGGTTAACGACACCGCCCACCCAGAACGCCTGTGCGTGTATCACGCGGCTCGAAGCTGGCTCGAAGCTGGTGAGGGCGCTTGCGCCGCTGACTTGCGATGGAAGAACTCGGGACAACAGCCACGCGAGCATCTACACTGGTTTGAGCCCTGTAACGTGGGAGTAAAATACAATTGTAGACGTCACCGGGCAGCGATATAAAAACATCTGTCAACAGTAGAGGTTGGAGGTCAGAGGCGTGGCTGGTGCTCACCGAGCTTGTGTTTAGCACGAGTGTTGCGACAGTCGAAGCCAGGCGGCCCCTTCCCCGAGTTTCATACTTTTGGGTGGGTACACCGAAAAACAATCTGACGAGACCGACGAAAGATTAGCCGGGCAACTTGCAACATATGGTATACTGCCGTCGTCGAACAACCATTCGATCACCCTTCCGTATACTGAAATATCTTGTTCCAGGCGCGCTCGTATGTATGCACCCAGCCCAAAAGAGCTCCGGATAACAAAAAAAAGCGCCGAGACTCACGTCCATTTGCTGACTCCTCCTCCCCCGCCGCCGCCGCCGCCCCCGTACCCTCCGTCATCACCGTAGTCCGACATCCTCTCCTGCTTTGGAACACCTGCAACCCCCCGGGGTGTAGTGAGAAAAAGACAAAACCAAGGGAGTGGCGTTGTGCGTCGGAACAGATGCTGAGACTGGAGCTCTCCCAATCCGTCAATTTAGTACGTCGCAAGCGCGCGTGGGACCAGGGCCATTCATCGGCACCCGACCGCATCGCTACCCAGCTATAACCTTCCCAAAGAGCAATACGCGTTGTACTCTCTGGGATATCGATCCCCGGTACGTTGCGCGGTTTCCCGCGATTGGACCCGCTCCGTTCCCAAGATAGGTTGCGGAGGGAGAACACAGTGCTGCTGTGTGCCGCCGGTCGTAGTTTGTGTTCAGTACCCCTATCCCTTGCGATGCACAACATGAAGCAGCAGTGTCCCACGGACAACACCACATGTTGGGACGACAATTTTTACGCAAAACAAGCAAAAAGAGCAAACCTCATTTCTGGATGAGAGAGGCGCTACGTTTGTACAACGGATGGCGAAGTAAATTGCCCGGTCAGGGCTGCCTCCCATCCTGTACTTGTGAAACATTTCGCATGTTCCGCCTGTCCTGCCGGCAAAGTCCGATGCACGACGTCGAGCGCAAGAGCGCGAAGTATATGGATGACCGGATGACCGGTAGCTGTGCATTGGTAAAGCAGCTTGGTGGGCGGTAGTAGCAAATATCGGCACGAGGGCAATGCGAGCGACATTACGAAAAGCGCATTGGTCGAGGACGTGATTCCCGTGCTCTCCGTCGTCGAGAGTTGCGAGACCGCCTTCCCTCCCAGGCGCCGTGGTGGCCGGAGGAGGGGGGNGGGGGGGGGGGGGGGGGGGGGGGGGGGGGGGGGGGGGGGTTATCATACGTGCAGACCCCGGCGAATGCCTTGTTCTGCGAAGCTATCCATAGCACCAAAGCCGAGCGATCTCGACTACCGCATCGCGTGAGAGCATGCCGTACCAGCTGCAACCCCTTCTTGTCCGTGTGTTTTTGCACTTGTGTCGATTCCAGAAGGCAACGTGATGGCAAATCCAGGACGCTGTACGCTGGGTGAGGGACGGCGGCGATGCACCTTTTTGAACATGTATGACATCGACACCGCAATCGGAAACTCCCCCGTAGCATGCATCCATGAACAAATCCAGGAGAAATTTAGGGAAAGAACGAGCCACCAACAACGATGTCTTGGTCCAGGAATGACTGGTGCGTGTTGCTGCCTCACGAACTCACGAAGGGGTGGTGGTTGACTCCAAGCGCAGAGCACACAAGGACGCAGCAGCGCCCTTCAAAAAACACTGGAGTACGGGCCACATCATGTTTTGCACTTCCTCCCTCACCTCACGAAAGGTCGAATTGTTAGCCCCTGGAGCACGACCAGCCAAGATCCGTTCTCCGGTTCCCTGGGATACTGTGACCGCTGCTGGTCTCGACGCTAAACGTTGTGTGGACCCAGCGACATTGCCTGCGCCAAGCCGAGCGATTGCTCGATAGGCTGGGGGGGTAGCTTCCCTGTACGGAGCCCCCTCCAACTGCGTAATCCCGCCGCACTGGGTCGTCTCGGCCGCAACTCGCAGCATCCGGGAAGCGTTGGTCTTGCCCGGCTGCTGGGTTGTGTTGGCATCCCACCGGGCTCGCTCCTGTCGTATGAGTTCGGGATTGGCGAAGGGATCAACATGAAGCGCGGAATATCTCCGTCGTCAGGCAGGAGCAGCGGCAGAAATGGCGCACGGCAGGAACAAGACAGTGGCGAGGGCCAAGATGGTGCTCCCACCAGCAACGAGGCATCCAAGAAAAGCGGTGCTGCTGCTGGTGATGCAATTACCGCAGAGGGAGGAAATGGGGAAGCAGCAGCAGCAGCAGCAGCAGCGCAAGGAGAGCGCACCAATTACCTCGTGGGGATGGCAGGCCACCGAACCCTCACGTCGTATATCCAGGACCTCAGCAAGGGGAGGAGGTGGACTGATCGGGTCAGGGGGTGGGGAGAGGAGGCCGGCCTCGCCGAACCGTCGGTCAAGCTCGCGCTCGGGTTCCTTGATATTTTAGGGGTGAGTTCCGGCGGTTTGGCGGCTGTGTTATGACACGCGATCGCTACTTTGAATGCACTGCGACGGTGACAAATGTTCCATTGCTTTTGTAGATGCTTTGAATTTTGCGAACGTCCGGCGTACAAGCTGATAACGGCCTTCGTATCTACATGTACACATACTGCTATAGGTGCCGGTGTTTGCTTGTGGTGTCTTACATAAAAACATATGATCGTGCCCAAGGATGTTGGAACCCATGTTGTTTGCATAAACAAGCTTAACTGGCGTGCTTATTGCTGATGCTGGCATGCTGCTGCACTCTGAGTTTGATTCTTTACCATATCAGATTCTTCCCCCCCCTGCAGAGAATGAAATGCGGCACTTCGCCATGCCGGCTTACGCAGCGAACGGCCCACGTACGAGACCATGTAAGGATAGAACGTGTCGCTAGAGGGCAAGGACGATGTTCGCGTATCACATGCATACATACGTGTTCGATGCGCACGCACACATTGTCAGCAGAGGGTTTGGCCGCGTGTTCTTGTTCAGGCTGCACGTAGGTTTACTAGGAAAAATATCTACACAGAGAGACTACCCATGTACTGTAATATAGTCAGGCTTGGACTTCGAATACGTCGAGAAGGCTGCTCCAGGTGCTGCTATGCATTCACAGACTCTAATCGATGCAACTTCTCTCGAAAAGCCATCCAACCCACCTGAGTGCTCTGGACTACTAACGCTGTATACTATGAGTCTAATCCACACGGACACTTCCTACTGCTGCCAACCCGCGCGTACCCAGGTGAGCCGTGCGTCGGTGTACAAGCAGCTGCTGGAGGATTCCCTGAGGGTCCTTCTGGACCAGATTCCGCACCTCCCGGAGAATGTTTTGCTGGACCTCTTGACCGACTCCTTCAAGTAAGAAAAAGAGAGTGACGACTTTCCGGTTTCCCCTGGGAACCTCCTTCTTGCCTATTCCTACTAAATAACCACCAAGATGAAGACTAAAAGGGGGGAGGTAATACCGTGATACGCATCATAGCCGCTGAAGACAATCCAACTAAGTCGCTGTTTAGGGTTCGACCGGTTTAGCGTCCACATGGTCGTCGCTAAACCGGGGTGCAGCGGTGTCACGAGATTTTGGGATCGCTAAACAGGGCATGTCGCTGACCAGGGGGTCCCTAAACCGGGACCCCAACTAAAATTGATTGCTGTGATGATGGCGGTTTCGTTGACGGTGGCGGTGGTGTGGTGGCATTGGTTGATGCTGTGCCTCACTTCGCGACACGTTTGGACCACCAATAATGGCAACACAGAATGAACTTCATGGACATATCGTTGGCCCCTGTCGAGACGTGCTTGTCATTCTGCGTCTTGGGCCTTATATACCTGCTTACCCGTGTGACTTGACAGTTCGAAGATTGGCCGCCCGTGCTGTGAAGCGCACTATCGTAACTTGCGAAAGAGAGCTTACAAAGAATGCCTGTACCCCATCGAATGACGGGAGAGCAACTCACTGCATATTAACAGGCACACTTCCGACGTTTCAAGCTCCACATCTTCGTTCGGGCCTTCAGCAGTCCGTTTGCCGATCTACCAGACGCCCTAAAGATATATATGTACAACGGTAGAATACGACTGTACACAGCTTTTGTGGTTCGCTCGGCTCTTCGAGTCAAAAACGCGTCACCTGTGTGAGCTGCTCGAGCTTGGGAAAAACGTTGCTGATGGCAGCTGGCAATTGCTTCACACCAACGCATGCTCTACTTTCATCTTTCGTCACGCCTTGATGGCACTATACTGCTGTGCTCTGATGAGCCCACTCCGGAGCCATTGCCCTGTGTATATACCGTAAGAGTCGGAGAGATGGCACCCCCGTGTTAGCGTTTTTGTACAGCGTATTTCTCCACAACCAGGGGGGTACCACTGCCGAAAAGGGTAGTTTTGGAAAAATCTCGTCGAGGGCTTTCCTGAAAGGTATCGGTTGGTGTTCGCACCCTCCCAGTTGTGGAGAAATACGCTACAAAAAAACGCTAACACGGGGGTGCCATCTCTCCGACTCGTACGGTATATATGTGTCTGACCGCTGTTTGTTGTTGAAAACACCGGAAATGACTTGCCATCAGGTTCGCCACGCACGCCGATCTTAAGAGCGTGCCTTTGAAGATCATCAGCAGCCTGTCCGCCGTTCCGGAAAGGGTAAGCAAGATGAACAATGAGAATGTTACGATGCTTCGAACATTGCCCTACTTTTAGCTGTAGCCCATGGAATCAGTGGGGGGTAAGGATGGGAGGGTGAGGGCACAACCTCTTGGAGATATGCAACCGTTTGAGATTGTTGGGTGAACGAAACTCACGTCCTGCCCCGTAAGATGGGGGTGCGGGTGCGATTGTTTATTGGAGAACAAGTGGGGCGGGGTGAGGATCAAATGACAGGTGGTAAGTATGCAGTGACAACCGTACATTCGCGGTGTGGCGCTTATAGGACTTGCAAGGGTACTCCGACCCGAAGGGGGACGCTTGGTCAATGATCTAGCAGCTAACAGCGTAGGAGATGAGTCACACAAACAACGACGCCCCCCCAAGCTCCTCGTGGCCATTGTCCAGCTGGCCACAGCATGCATGTTTTCCAGCTAATTCGGCTTCGGTCGCTTTTCCCCCACCACGAGCTTGACCTCCCTGCTTGTGCTGTTTTGCTTGCTCCTGCGGCATGATTCTCCCTCGCTCCCTCCCTCTCTCCCTACCCCCCTTCTCTCTCACCCCTTCCTCTCCTCTGTCCCAACCACGCAACAAGGTTTTGGACAAGATGAACGAGCTGCAGAAGTTACAGCCGGAGCAGTTCGAGGAGCTGGGGTTGCCCCTCGCCATCAAGCACCTAGCTTGGGAGAAGGATTCCGTCCTCTTCGTGCGCATCGTGTCGCCCCACGCGGACAAGTACCTCGCCAGCGAGTTCTCGCCCAAGATGGTGCTCTCCTCACAGCAGGTACGTACTGCTGTATGCATCATTTACGTTTCTTCTGGGCCGTACCCCTGCTGATCCGGTCTGCTACTAGGTTAACCATGGTTGCACCAAGTCACTTGTACTGCTGTCTTATCTTGTTGATATATCTTCGTAAGCGAGTCGATGAGAGGGGTGCAAGAGGCGCTGCTTACGCTGTCCGGCTTCGTAAAGTTTTTTTGCAAGGGTATGTACACAAAACGCAGCAGTGTAGACGCAGGAGAAGCAGCAACAGCAACAACCTGTCGGTACACGCGTCAGACACGTACTAAGCTTTTAAGTCGGGGCTCCCCTTTGTTGTCGTTTTTGCCTTGTCATCGTCGTCGCTATTTAGTTGAGGTTCTATAGGTCCCTCGATACCATCAAGCGGCGCAAACTCATGGGCCCCGACAGGATCAACGCCCTGGCGGAGTACACGGGCGACCGGCCGATCCTTATCGGGTAAGAGCTACAGCATCAGGGAAGCATACGGTGCTTCGATGGTGTCGACCCATGAGTCTGAAGGCGAGCGCTCTCTTTCGGCTTGCCTGCCTCGCCCGATCCTTATCGGGCAAGAGCTACAGTAGGGAAAGCACGCGATTCCTTCGATGGTGTCAACCCCATGTGTTTGGCGGCGAGCGCTCTCTTCCGTCGAAATTGACGAAGGTGATACGCTGGAAACGGAAGGTATAGAAGGGTTCAAGGGGAAGAATGTCTGTTGCTTTTGCCAAGAGAGAAGAACAGAATCTAACCGAAGAACACCAAGGATAAATGGGGTCTAGATGTGTACGGAATGTTGAAAGAAGGAACAGGGTTCAAGGAGTACCTACATGGACCAATGGATGCAGGGACAAAGCTGAAGGTCTAATTTAGGACTGGGGACATTGGCCTTCGAGAACGTAGACGAAGATTTGGGAAGATGGACGATGAAGACAAGTTCAAATGTGATTGCGGCTTCAAGTGCGAAGACCGAGTTCATGTAGTTGCGGAATGTCCGTTGTACAAGAAGGAGGGGGAAGTGTATATGACTGAGCTAGAAAAAGTAAAAGGAAGGTACAGGGAGATGTTTGAGGCATGGAATAGTCAGCAGAAGACGGTAGCTGTCCTGGGACATCGGAAGTGGGATGAACAAACGGCAAGTGATATCGAGGAGAAGATAATTGGCTAGGGAAGACATTGTTGAGCCACCTTTGGCCAAGTAAGAAGGAACGATTGGCCATCGGTGATCGGTCCTGTGGGAACAATGCTCCGGTCCTCTCGAGGACGCGTGGTCAGCGGTCCAATCGCTAAGGCATGCAAAACATAAGAGTACCCCCCTCCCCGCGCATGCGTTCTCCCTCGTCGAATAAGCCCCCACCCCTTCCAACAACATAAGTCTGTCTCGGACATCAAAGCAAACGCGAGGATGATGACCAGCTTCGGGTTCATCCTTGTGGAACGTAGCCTGGGCCGGCGAAAGCCCGGCAAATTGCACCGTTCCGGCCTTGTAGGGATGCGAGGCCAATGGTCTGTACCGACTACAGCGTGAGTACACCCCCTCCCCCGCCGAACAACTACGCAAGGCGGTCCATGGTCAAGCATCGAAATTAGATGCATTTCACGTGAATATACCCCCCTCCCTCGGAACTACTGAGGCCGTCCATGTTCTAACGACTAACGACTACGGCATGCGTCTCCATGAGTGCACCCCCTTGCGGACAACACCCTCTGCTTCTTGTTTTTGTCCTCCCTCCTCCCAGGTTCCTGTGCGACTACATCGCCGAAAGGTTCTCGCAGGAAAGTTCTCTGTCGGAGGCCGGGCTGTGGGCCACCCTCCTGACCGACGTCCTCGTCACGGCGAGGGAGCGCGCGTACGGCAGCATCGCGGACCAGTCCGTGGACCGTCTCTGCGCCCTGGCGTCTCGCCTCGACCTGGCCGTGCGAGAGGACGTGTTCAACGACGGCACGGTCAGGGATGTGCAACGGTGCGTATTTGCCGTGGCGAAAAAATGTTGCGTGGCGCTCTTTGCCGTGTTATGACGGCGCGTTGGTTGCGTTGCTGATATCATAGTCATTCAGTGCTGCGTCGCTGCGTGTACAGCACGCGAACGCTCGCGCGTGTTTGGTATGCTTGGCATGTTTTGTCGAGGTTGTTTGGAGTTGTTGCGGTTGCCGTGTGTGTGGCGGGAGGCGTTATTTGTGGTGTTCCGGAAGTTTCAATATTCTTCCCGAGTGCTTCGTGTTTCGTCTGAAGTCAAGTCCGCACAATATACGATGGAAGAATTGATTTGCCGGCAAGGGTCTGGTCTGGTCCACCGATCGATCACACTCTGGTTGCCTCTTCCGATAATTTTCCGCGCGAATCTTCCACTACCACACCCGCAGCCTGCTTCGCTCGCTGTACAAGCCCTCCCTGAGTGCAACGAAAACAGGAACCTGAACACCCAAGCCCTCTCTCAAGGCATGTCTCGTAACTTCGAAACTCGTACGCAGGTTCGACTTTTTTTCACACCGATTGCTGTCTACCCATTTCAGAGTAGTTGACCTATGGCAACGGAGGGGGTTCGGGCCGGTTGGACCGGAACGGGTAGCAGACGGCGGTGGTGAGCAGAGAACGGGAACGGCTTCCATGGTGACGAGAGCAACGACAACATCCGTGGCATCTATACTGCATGCCTAACCTCCAAACTGGTCGTTTCCTCGAACCCGCAGCCTGTTTCGCTTGGCGACGGGGATCGGGGAAGGCCAGCACGAGCCGGGCATGGCGGAGAGGCGAGAGACCAAGCAGGAGGAGGTCAAGCAAAAGGACGGCAGCACTAAGATCCAAAAGGTTTTTCACACTTGACTTTGGGATATGTAAATATATAGTGGACGGGGTGGTTCTGGCAAGTGGTAACAGCTACCACATAAGTAGGATGTTATCTTGCGATCGTAATCGCCTAAATTTTCGCCTTCGTCCGCATGGTTAGTTGGTTGGTTATGGCATGTAGAGAGCATTGATGCACGGGATGTGTTTTTTGTTCTTGTCTGCTGGCGTCGATGTTCTGCCCGATTTTGATTTTATGATGACTTGCTGATACATGCACGCGCACGCCCTTTCGAGACGGAATGTGGACCTTACAAAAGGACCGGTCCAGCATCGACGGTGAACGAATTTATACCAATTCCGTGGTTCGTGCCTTGTTTGTAGTTGTTGGTTGGTGGCCGCGTATTGCACGACGGGGACTGTTACTCGCTTGTGCAAGGTTGGAGGTCGAATGTCAGGATGGTCGAGACTCTGAGTTACAAGCACCGACGAGTGCGACGTGTTTGTTGTCATCGTTCTTGTTTCAGATTTCCTCCCCCCCCTCCCCCTNTTTTTTTTTTTTACCTCCGTTTTTTTTTTTTTTTGCGGTAACCATACTGGTGGTCGAGTAGATCATGTTGTGCGGGGTGGAGAAGCCTCACTCAGCGCAAGGGGGATGATCGCACCACGTTGTGTTGAATTGGTCAAGCACCCTCGAGGCAGTTACACAGTGCTTATAACTGTCTATGGAAGTGAAAGCACCGGAAAATAAATTAAGTCATACGCAGCTGTCATCCGTACGCAAGGAAGTAAGCACAAGATGCCGAAAACCCTTAGCAGGATGCAGCGCACCCTTCATGCGACTCGCCGAATATCTCACGGCGCTTCGCGCTTGGTGATGTGAGAGCCTGGTCCNTCCCCCCCCCCCCCCCCCTCCGGCTCCGTCCTCCCGAGGACGCGTGGCCAATGATCTAACCGCTAAGACATGCAAAACGTGATAGTTCGCCCCCCCCTCCGGCTCCGCTGCCCGCCGTCCGTTCCCACCTTCGCTTGCTTGGCGTCTTGTTCTTGTAGACGTTGAAGACGGCGTGGTCTCTGGTGTCCAAGATGGACAAGAACAAGTGGTTCAAGGACCCCGTCACCGAAGCCATCGCTGAGGGGTACCACAAGGTCGTCAAGACTCCCATGGATCTGGGCACGATCCTGAAAAAGGTACAGCATGTGTAGCCGCCAACCACCCTGGTACGGTGTATAGCCGAGGGGAGATGGTCCGCCCACAACAGGTACTCCGCCGGCTGCGGTGGCCGGGGTGCGCTTGCTAATGTGCGACTTGAGGTACCTTATCACCCCTGCCCCTTGTTCCTGGCCCTTGCTGCGTTGCATATTTTTTTTCAGTCTGAGGCGACATAGTCATCATTTGACATGATACCTTGAATTGTTTGGTTGTTCGGGTGGTTTTCGCCCGCCGAGCCATTTGCGTCTCGTTGAATCTATTCCTCTGCCGCGTACCCCCCAACCTCCGCCACCCTCCGCCGCAGATCAAGGGCGGCGGGTACCCCAGCTTCGGAGACTTCGACCGAGACTTGAAGCTCATGTGGCAGAATTGCCGGACCTACAACGGGGAGGTGCGTTGCCTCCACTCCACGCACAAGCAGTCAGTAACTTTCAGATATCCAGTAGACTCCCTCGAGTTACGACACCCCGCCAATAGCAAACATTATTGAACGCCGCGGCCACGGTTTCGTTCCTGCGCTTGTCTTGTTCAACCTCTCCGAGGAACAACAGCTGAAGCATGGTTTTGTTCGTCGGGGACAGCGCGGTTGCATGTCGCAACACGTTGTCGGCTCTTTTTCTCGAAGTAAAGGGCAAGTGACAATAAGTCTACAAGATGCACGGCTGTCGTAGCGTAATAATAGGGTTTTCCCGTTCGGGCAAACTGCCCATGTTCGGGTAACAACCCGCGGAGTCGTTTTAACCAACGAGTAAAGAGGAACGGCGGTCAAAAGGCGTTCCACGACCAGCCCCCTCATCGGCTGTTGCGTTAGTTTTGGGCGGAAACCCCGTGGGCGCACTTTACATCACCCCCCCCATACCCCGCCATGATACCCCCCGCCCCCCAGACGTACGAGCTGAAGTTAGCTTCGCTGTAGAAGTCGAAGTGCAAAAATGTTCGTCCATGTCCTGCCGTACTCCTGTCGTATGTGCTACCTTTCCATTGCGTTGATACACTTCGGTTCTTTGTCGAGAAACGGGCCAGCTCTCGTCATTTTTTTGTTCGTTGCAGGGGACGCAGTACAACAAGGAAGCCTTGAGACAGGAGGAAGAGTGGTCCAAGATTTCCGCGAAGATAGAGAACGACCTACGACACCAGGAGGTATGTACGAACTTGTGAATGTGTTTTTTTCCCTCACGCTCACACACCCTGCTTTGTGTTTTGGCCCTCTCCGTAGAGCTGCTAGTGCCGCTGTTGCATTCTTGACTCCGGAGGTGGGTGTGGTGATGTTGGCGTCGGCATCGGTGTTGGTACAGTAGTGTATATCGTTCACTGTACCTACGTACCTGCCGTGGCCTATTTCCGGCCTCCGCCGCCGCCGCCCCCGCCGGAAAACGCACTCGCGACAGCAAGTCATCCCCGCCAATGGAAATCACCTACCCGTACCCGTCACCAACCCCCTACGCCCCCCGCGTGTGCCTACCACGATCACCCCCCCATCCAACTAACTGTCACCTCTCAAGGCTCGCCCCAGCGGCGGCGGCGGCGGCGGCGGCGGCGCTTCTGCCACCACCACCACACCCACCAACAGCAACAAGCGGAAGAGCAGTAGCGGTGGCGGGGGTAGTTTCCAGGACGACGCCAGAGGAAGCGGCGGCGGCGGCGGCGCGGCCCTAGCCCCAATGGCCCAGGCGACCCAGCTGGAAAGGGACGGGATCGGCCGCCGCGTGGGGCTCGCGTCTGTGCTCCTCGCCGAGCCGTTCGCGGCTAAGCTTATGTACCGGCACGCGTCGGAGAGGATTCCGGAGGCATGCTGCGAGCGGGGCATCCTCCCGCGCGACCACCCGGTCTACGCGCCGCTGGTGCAGCTACTGGACCTGGGGGAGAGCGCCCGCCACATGCTCAGGGCCAACACCTTCGGCGTGCGCGAGGTTAAGGCCGAGGTGACGAGGGCCGTGCTGCCGTGCGTCGTGGCGCTGCACGCGCGGGCGGCGGCAGCAGCGGGCCGGCGGCGGGCCGGCGGGGGTACCGACGATGCCGACGGTGCCAGCGCAGGTGATCGAATGGGTCCGATCGTCGTTGTCGTTGTTGTTGTTGTTGTTGTTGTTGTTGTTGTTTCTTTGATCGCGTAGGTAGTCGGCGGACCACCCTTTAATCCGCAGCGGACATCCGATTACTGCAGACAGCAAACAACACCCGTCATAACAAAGTTTTCCCCTTCCCGCGCTGCTTCCCGATCCTCCTCCTCCCCTTCCTCCTCCTCCTGTGTCGCCTCCTCTGCTTGTCGATCGTATCGTCATCATCAGCCGAGACCGCTGCAGAGAAGGAAGAGGACGCGGCCGCCGCAGCCGGCCAGGACTGGCGGGGGTGGTACAGCGATGTCCCCGCCATCCGGCGGCTGGTCTGCACGATGCTGTGCCGCGCGATGGTGAGGGGGAGTGACGAGGCCGCCGCGGTGCTGATGCCGGCGGCAAAGGCGGCGGTGAAGAGGATGGCGGACCAGCGGTGGCTTTGGGCGAGCCTTGGCGAGCTGGCGCAGAGGAGCGCTGACGCATCGGCGGCGACGGCGGCGGCGGCAGCGCCGGTGAATGAGGGCGGAGGCGTCGTCGCCGCCGGTGTAGCCGGGAAGAAATGCGGGAAAGAGAAAGGGACGATGCCGCGGGTTCTGAAGCCAGAGGTGACCGGAGTTGTTCATTGATATCGGTGCTATTTATTCCCCAGTTCACAACGGTTGGGCAACTGATGGATCAATAAGCGACGCTCTGTTTTTCCTCTTCTCCGTCGGCAGTTTCAAGCAATACCGGTTTCGCGCAAACGCGCGCGACCCATGATCTTCCACATTCAAACATCGAGCCCATTCCTGTCTCGGCTGTCTCTCTCTCT